AACAACAACAGGTTATCTTGACTGGTGACGTCACGGCCAGCTGCAGCAGTTGTCGCCCGGGATCAGTGACGATAAATTATTTGGGGGAGTGCCACAGCCTCATCCTCCCCGCCTAACACTAGTATTTATTTCATATAAAGTCACCTGATACCTTACTTCACCTAACTTTCACTTAATATATAACGTCTAAAGTGTACACACATATAATAGTAAAGGTATATATATATATTTAAGTACATACTGTATATGATAATACTATTTACATTAATTTTACGTAAAGAAAAAAATAACTCGTTAAATTAATAAGTCCTCAAACTTCTTCATCTACGGTTTATGTTCAGTAGAAATATATTTACTTTTTATTTTCCCAAACTACCAAAAAGTATCCAAAGTTTATATTTATGTTAACTCGAAAAAATATATATATTTTTTTTAGAACTTTAGTAAAGCCACAAACTATTCTGTATGGAGCTTCGATGTTTTACGCACAGCAAACTTGTACAGGAAACAACCACATGTTCACATCACTTTTGAAGACAAGTGTAAACAAACAAACAAGGGGGGTGAACTGTGGTGGTGGTGAGCTGTGGTGGTGGTGAGCTGTGGTGGTGGTGGTGAACTGGTGGTGGTGGTGAACTGTTGGTGGTGGTGAACTGTTGGTGGTGGTGGTGGTGGTGAACTGTGGTGGTGGTGAACTGTGGTGGTGGTGAACTGTAGTGCTGGTGAGCTGTGGTGGTGAGATGTGGTGGTGGTGAACTGTGGTGGTGGTGAACTGTTGGTGGTGATGGTGAGATGTGGTGGTGGTGAACTGTGGTGGTGGTGAGCTGGTGGTGAACTGTGGTGGTGGTGAGCTGTGGTGAACTGTGGTGGTGGTGAGATGTGGTGGTGGTGAACTGTGGTGAGTGTGGTGAACTGTGGTGGTGGTGGTGAGCTACAATGGTGGTGGTGGTGGTGAACTGTGGTGGTGGTGAACTGTGGTGGTGGTGAGTGGCTATGATGGTGGTGAACTGTGGTAGTGACAAACCGTGTTGGTAGTAATAAGACTATCGTGATGTGGACTGTGGTGGTGGTGAACTGTGGGCATTGAGGTGGTGGTGGTGAGCTGTGGTGGTGGTGGTGGTGAGGTGAGCTGTGGTGGTGGTGGTGAGGCTATGAACAGTGGTGAGCTGTGGTGGTGAGCTGTGGTTGTAGTGGTAGTAGTGTTTATAACCACAGCTATCGATCCACACACACACAGTTTTTCTCTTACATTAAATACTTCACAACAGACAGCAAATTGACTCTTCAAACACCAAACACCTCGACAAAAACATACAAGAAAACCAAACTAAACTAAACAACTAAATATACCTAAATGGCATCGTAAAGTACAAGTAAATATTAAAAAGTTTAGATTGGAAGTCAAGAGTTTGTAAGAGCACACCTGGTGACGGTCCTCTTGGGTGCAGGTGTGTGTGTGTGTGTGTGTGTGTGTGTACGTGTGCAGGTGTGTGTGTGTGTGTGTGTATGTGTGTGTGTGTGCGTGTGTGTGTGTATGTGTGTGTGTGTGTGACGCAGGACAGAAACCTAACTCCTTATTTTCTTGGGGACTGACCTTGACCTTGACCTCTGACCTTCTGTGTATCACCAAGAACGACATCCTAGGTATGGTTGGTCAAGGTGTGATGAGACAGACAGACAGACAGACATAGACAGATAGACAGACAGATGGCCAGGCATTATTGGGTCCACTTAAAGAGTGTATGAAAATTTAAGTCTTTTAATAGAGATATATAATAGGTGGGTGAAAGAGTGAAGTGCCACAGGGAAGTGAGTTATCTGGCACTAGTGATGCCACAATGGAGAGTGACACTCACTCTATATAAGTGACACCCCCACAGCTGCCCGCCCTCTCACCATCCTCTCTCTCTCTCTCTCTCTCTCTCTCTCTCTCTCATCTGTCTCTCCTATCACATTCGCCGGCTTTTTACCACCCTCATTGTCATATTTCTCCTTGGTAATAGACATTTTCATGCATTCGTTTCCCCCCATTACCAGTCAATCATTCATCACCCTCTCCCTCCTCCCCATCCCTCCCTCCTCCTCCTCCCTCTCTCTCTCTCTCTCTCCTTGGAATAACATATTTGACAAACTCCCATCACCATTATTAAAATATATACTATCACCATATTCTATCACGCAACCACCATTACCACCATAGCCTCACCATAACACACAACAACAGCATCAACCATCCACAACTATAACAACACACCACCATCACCACCACCACAATCTTCATCACCACCACACTCTCACCACCACCACACCATCAACCACCAACACAATCTTCATCACCACCACACTCTCACCACCACCATCATCACCACCCTTTCATGGATAAACAAAAGACCCATCTTATGATTACAAACATTTCATACCCCACCCCTTGTTCTCACCCACACACCCCCATACCCCCACCCCTTGTCCCTACACCCTCACACCCCCACCCTCCAGTTCCCACACCCACACCTCCCACACCCATCTTCTTGGTAAAACACATTTGACAAACTCCCTCCC